CTCTCCTTCTCTAGTCCCAAGTTTCCTATACACCTCATCCAAATAAGTAGCACGAGCCTTATTAACTCTTCTCTTAGCTTCCCTCTTCGCTTATTTGTACTTAATAAAAGTCTCATCATCCTACACTTTGGTAGCTCTCTAATCTCTCTTCTTGGTCCTAGTAGTATTTTGAACTTTCTCACTCCACCACCAAGTTTTCTTTCCTGGAGTGCCTTTACCTCTAGATACTCATAGTACCTCCTTTCCCACTTTTCGAATGCAAGTCGCAAGGGTATTGTATTTGCATCACCTTCGCATGACCAAGCAGCCTCCTTTAACAACTTCTCCTTAAAAGCCAATTTCTTTATTCCCTTTAAATGCCACCAACGAGTTCGTGGGAGGTGATTTATCTTAGTCCTATGGTAAAGCCTAATGCTCACATCTAGAGTTACTAACCTATGTTGGGTGGCTAACGCTTCTCCGGAAATTACTTTACAATCCTTACAGAGAGAACAATCTCTGTACTTTGTGAGAAAATAATATATCTGGCTCGAGTTCCTCCCATTCTTAAAAGTGATTAAATGTGAATCTCTTTTCTTAAAGAATGTGTTGGTTATAACAAAGTCGTGTTTCAATGCAAATTCCAAAATAGATTTACCTTCTTCGTTCCGAGCCCCAAAACCAAAACCACCGTGAATCCTCTCGAAGTTTTCTCTATCCTTACCAACATGTCCATTCAAATCTCCTCCAATAAAAATGCTACCCCCATTACCTATACTACGCACTAAGTCATCCATGTCTTCCCAGAACTTGATTTTAGTTTACTCATCCAATCCTACTTGTGGAGCATAAGCACTAATTACATAAATGAACTTCTCCCCTAACACTAATTTGATCATAATAATTCTATCACCTAATTGCTTAATCTCAACCACTTCATCCTTCAAAGTTTTGTCCACTAGAATGCCAACTCCATTACGATTCCTTTCCCAACCTGTGTACCATAACTGATGTCCTAGGTTTCTAATCTCTTTTGCCTTCTCTCCTGTCCACTTGGTTTCCTGTAAGTATAAGATGTTAATTCTTCTTCTCAGCATAACATCTACTAACTCTATAGATTTACTGGTTAAAGAACCTACATTTCAACTGCCTAGATGAATTTTCCTATCATGGGCTAGCATTGCCCCCTGCACACGTCCATGAATGTGCAATGACCCTCCTTGCATATTTTTCACCATATCCGGGGCCAAACATGGCGCATGGGCTAGCTTCTTCCCCCGCACACATCCATGAATGTGCGAGGACCCCCCTTGCCTATTTAACACTATACCCGTGGTCCGGCATAGCGCCTAGCACGTAAGGAACGCCCCAACAGAGTCTGTAAATGAGAAATCCATGTAGAGTGACATTTTTACACTGACTGTCAACTTACCGCAACCTTTCTCCTTTACCCGGGCTTAGGACCGGCTATGCAAATCACCGTATAGGTGGAGTTAACCGGAAATCTAAAAAAGAAAGAAAAAAAAAAACTCACCTGAAACTTAGGGCTGTTTTAAATAATCTTATTTGATGGTAGAAATTTTTTGACTGTTAGTTATATGCTTGCAAGTTTGTCTAATATTTTTTCCCAATTATATCTCTGTGTGTATTCCTTTTTATTTATGATTAATTTTAATTTTACCCCTGAGGAATACTCGGTGTCTCACTCTGACCCCTAAACTTTCTAATGTCACACTAATGGTCCCCATGCTTCACAAATATTGCACTTTTAATTCCATATTCGAATGTTTAATGTTAACATTTCATAGTTTCCTCACCTAGAATAAATTACATTGGCCATACAAAATTAGTAGATAAAACTATGCAAAAGTCCCACGCGACTCTGTTTAAAATAACTAAGCTAGGGTGAAATAATTGTTGACATCATATAAGTTTTATAAAATTTATGAGGAGAAGAAATTTGACGTTAAACATTCAATTATAGGACTACATTTGTAACATTTGTAAAGGTCGGGGGCCATTAATGTGGACGTTTAAAAGTTCAGAGGGTAAAGTGAGACACCGAGTATTTTTTAGGGCTCAAAATTGAAATTTTTCTTCAATTAATTTACCAAATTACCCTCTTTACAAGCATCATGTGCGCCTCACATGCTCATTTCGTCAATTTTTTTAACAGTTTTGTCACGGAGGGCTGAAAGTGTAACGTTTGTAAAGCTCGAGTGCCATTAGTGTGACATTAAAAAGTTTAGGGGGCAATGTGAGATAACGAGTATTCCTCAAGGGCCAAAATTGAAATTAATCCTTTTATTTATTTAATTTATACTAATATGTCTAATGACTTCTTTTCATTTTTGATAGCTATCGTAGGACTTCGGTTATGTACGGTTAAAATATATCAAGTGGAACTAATATATTACTTTACATGTTGTGTTTAAGTGCTAAACTATTGCTCATGCATGTATCATAAATTAATGCAAAGCTGCTTCCTGGACTACATGGCCAAGATGCACAAAAATAGTGTTCGATATCTACACATGTTATATTTATTTAATACATTCTAAGGTTAAGATTCTATCTGTGATGATTTCTGAAAATGCAGGAAGGTGTATCCCGAACCATCAGATCATTATCTCATTTAGCAAATGATATGTCTTTCTCAAGATACTGTGATCGTGATGAACCATCAAAAGTGGAGAAGCTTCTAGGCGGTGGTAAAGGTAGGAATTGGGAAACGTTTCTGTGGTACTTCTTATCGTTCTTCTATTCAAGCTTCCTTTCCCCCCCTTGAATTTATGTAACATTTACACAGCTTTTCTTATTTGTTTTTATAGTTGCACCCTATAAAAGCATTCTCAGGTGAAAACGTTTAAGTTATGTAGTTCATTTTGGACTATAACTCTGGCCTGGTGGACCCCTGACTGTTTAGATTAGGTTAATTCTTTCCTTGGATTTTGATTAAGTAGTTGACATTTAACCTAATGGTAAGTCATCTTCTTCTTGTTTCAAAAGACTTGGCCAATGTATCG